AGCCTTCCCTGAGTTTCCCTTGTGGGTTCATGGACCCAAGGACCTGAGTCATCCTTTGCTGCCCTTTCAGGCCATAAGCAGGGAACTGGATCAAAAGTGGAGCAGCCAGGACATGAAGTGGGTTCATATGAGATGCTGACACTATAGGGGGAGGCTCAACACACTATGCCACAACGCCAGCCCCATTGTTTTGTTTTCATTTTCACAATCATCTTATGTGTTTTTATTAGTACTTTTCCACTAAAGAAGAAAACAGAACAATCAATTTCCAGTGTTGTACATAGTACATGGGAGACCTGTAATTCATTGTCTCCAGACTTTCCTCTTGATAATACTAAACATTGTGTTACAGTGGACGCCTTAAGAGAAGTCATAGAAAGCCAGATGACTGATCTGGAGACATCTGTGTTTTACAGAATGTTCATGTTGACAGAGCTGAGAAAGCTTGATTAGGGGAAAGCCTGATATTAAGGAAACTGCCTTAGGATGGTAAACAAAACAAAACTTGTTTTTCTGTACTCTCAACACTTCACAGAAGATGAAGTGATCCTAAGTATGTGAGAGTTTCCCTCATTAGCTGACTCTTAGAGTATAGCAACTATCCTATGTAACTCATTTATGATAATAACTATGCATTCCCACAGGACTGCCCCCATTCAGATGCTAGTCTCAAGTCTGAGTCTCCCAATCTTCTAATTTACTAGCTGTAATTTTAAAGTTCTCAACTCTATTGAAGTTGAATGAAATGTTTGATAATTGAATACCAGAGGAAGTAGAGAGAGATGTGAATGAGACCAGAAAGACCAATAGGTGTTGGCTTTAAGACTGGGAAGATGGTGACATCTAGATGATTAAGGAGTAGGGGGATTAGAACACAGGAGGTAAAGCTGGGTCTAGGATTAAGGTGGTGACAGTAGAAATTGCAAAGAGAAGTTTTGACATTTGAGTGTTTAGGCAAGGGTAAATAGGCTATTAAGATTTTGAACCTGGACTTTTAAGAATAATTGATAGATTGCTTTGGAGTGTGAACTGATTTGGAGGAGATGGTATGGAGAGATGATGTTTTATATCTTGAAATTGTGGAAATATGTAATGGACGATAGATTTATTAATAGTTTAAATAGGTCAAGTTTGGAGACATGCAAGAATTAATTTAATGTGCTTTTCTGATGCCACCAGAAATCTTGAAGTCTATTGTTCATAGTGGATATTTCTCTGTTTTAGTTTTTAAATTTACTCGTTTTTTGAAAGGCAGGTTATACAGAGAGAAAGGGAGAAACAGAGAGATCTCCCATCCACTGGTTTGCTCCGCAAATGGCTGCAACAGCCGGAGCTGAGCCGCTCTGAAGCTGGGAACCACGAGCTTCTTCTGGATGTGTTGTATGCGTACAGGGACCTAAGGACTTGAGCCATACAAACCTGCTTTTACAGACCATAAGCAGAGAACTGGGTGGGAAGTGAAGCAGCCAGAATACAAACTGGAGCCCATTTGAGATCCCGGTGCTTGTAGGTGGATGATTAGCCTGCTGTGACCCTGTATTTCTGTTTTTAAGCATATGTGATCTGTATTACTTATGTTGTGATGTTAAGACCTTTACATTTTCTTTCTTTGGTGGTTAGTCTTTGTTAAGTACCATTTTTTTTCTTAACGAGCTCATCATTGAGAAATCATTTTAAATATATATTAGATATATGCTATAATTGAATCATAATGAAAATAAAACTAACCACTTTTTTTTTAAGATTTATTTTATTTATTGGAAAGTCAGATATACAGAGAGGAGGAGAGACAGAGAAAGGAAGATCTTCCGTCCGATGATTCACTCCCCAAGTGAGCAGAACGGCCGATGCTATGCCGATCTGAAGCCAGGATCCAGGAACCTCTTCTGGGTATCCCACACGGGTGCAGGGTCCCAAGGCTTTGGGCCGTTCTCGACTGCTTTCCCAGGCCACAAGCAGGGAGCTGGAAGGGAAGTGGAGCTGCCGGGATTAGAACCGGTATCCGTATGGGATCCCGGCGTGTTCAAGGGAGGACTTTAGCCGCTTGGCCACACTGCCGGGCCCTAAAACTAACCACTTTTGACATCAGCTATGTAGTTTAAGTTTCAAATAATGATAAATGTTTTTGAACTTTAAATTTGAAAAATGAGAATCTATCGGAAAAAAATCAGAGTAAGCAGTCACTATTCATGTGTCTTTCAGAGTCACTGATCATCAGTATGTTTGCCATTTTGATTTCTTGTTTCCTCTATGTTGACAGTTTTTCCTTGATCAATTTAACAGTCAGTTTTAGCTATGAGACTTTATCCTTAATTTGATGTAAGACTTTTGATGTAAGACTTTTCTGCAGGTACTTTAATTTGTGAGATGGGGATGTATTTAGCCTAGTAGTTGAGATACTGGTGTCTCATATCTGAGTATATGGGTTTGGTTCCCAACAATCCCTAAGTCTAGCTCCTGATGGGAAGCTCTTACAATTGTGTTTCTGCCACCCATGTGTGTACCCTGGATTGAGTCCCTATCTCCCAGCTTTGGCCCAGACCACTCTCAGCATGTTGAGAGTGTTAGGGAGTAAACCAGTGGCAGAGAGTATACATTCATATTCTCTCTCTTTCTCTCTCTCTTTTTCTTCCCTCTGTTCACTCCCCTTCTCTCTCCCTCCCCTCCCCATCCTTCTGTCTCAAGTTAAATAAAATTCAAAATAGCTTGTCCTCAAATTTCTCTTTCAATTTGATTTTCCATAAACAGTTTGAACTGCCTTCGTATTTTTAAATATGTAATTTGTCTTGGTCTGTTTTGTGTCTTTTTAGCAAAACCAGATTGCTAAACTAAATTTTGGAGACTGTGAAGTCAAATGCTTTGGGGCCACATCTGGCGAGGGTCTTTTTGTTGCCTCATCCGTGGTGGCATGGTAACATGAGTTCTAAATAGCTGGAGATGGCCAAACTCACTTTCTTAATAAGCCTTTTCTCTTGATTAAAACCTATTTTTACCATTCATGAGGCAGATGCTTTAGCACCTGATGACCTCTGCAGGTTTCTACCCTTCAGCATTGGTGTTAAATTTACACCAAACCGAAATGTTCAAACTAAAATATAATCCATATAGTCAATTTTTTCTGGTTCTCTTAATGTCTTTTATATCTTTAAGACATTTGTTGTATTTTGTCTTTTCATTTCTCTCTAACATCCTTTAATAGCCTTCATTCTTTTGGGTTTTCTTTTCACAGTATTGACATTTTTGGAGTCTAAGCCAGTTGTCTCACTGAATAGCCCACAAATGAAATCTGTTTGTGTTCCCATAGTTGGGATTAGGTTAAGCATTGTTTGCTGAGAATAGCACATAGTTGTTGATATGTGTGACTCACTTGATTGTATAAGGAGGCACAGGATTTCAATCTTTACAATTATTGGAGGAGCTAATTTGAATCACTTGGTTAAGTTATTGTCTACCTCATCTCCTTTCTGTAAAGATTTAATTTTTTTATAATTACTAAATAGGACTGTATTAATACTGCAGAGTAATAAGCAGTAAGTAAGAAGTAATACATTTGTATAGATATCCTGGAACTTGACCCTAGATTTTAAAGGTAACCAATAGGTTTCAGGAATCATATGTACGGAATTTAGGATGAGCAGGGGAAGGGTGATGTATGAAATGAGGATAGACAGGTAGAACCTTTGTGTCAAGCTGAATTTGAAACAGAAAGATTTTAAGCTGGTGATAATTGTGGTGATGCAATTAAGTTTGAATTTTTAGAATGACCATTTTAGCTGTAATCAATTGGGAGATTATTGCTAAAGATGATAGTAGGCTGGATTCAGTGTGACATCCTTGCCGGAAAGAAGAGGACCATTTGAGAAATATCTATGAGGTTAAAATGGACAGAATTTGCTATCATTGTGAGGATTGAAAGCGGCTTGATGATATAATATTTGATAAGGTTGTGTGCCTTATTGACTATATTATAATAAAATTATGTTTAAAATTATGTGAATAAAGATTTATTTGTTTGAAACAGAGAGTTACACAGAAAGAGGGAGAGGTAGAACTGGCTCATTTCCCAAATGGCTGTAGTGGCCAGGGCTGGGGTCAGCCACTGGGAACTTCCTTCAGATCTCCCGTGGTTTGCAGGAGCCCAACCTTGCATTCCCAGGACATTAGCAGGGAGCTAGCTGAATTGGAAGTGGAGCAATTGGGACATGAACCAGCACTTAGATGCTTTGCTGGCATCTCAGTCATTGGCCTAACTCTACCCTATAACACCAGCTTTGGAATTAGATTTTTAGATTTGCTGGAGACTAGGCCTTTTGGCTTGCTTTTTTTTTTTTTTGTTATTGTTTTAAGATTTGTTTATTTTTATTGGAAAGGCTGATTTACAGAGAGGAGAGACAGAAAGATCTTCCATCCACTGATTCACTCTCCAGATGGCTGCAATGGCTGGAGCTAATCTGAAGCCAGGAGCCAGTAGTTTCTTCTAGGTTTCCCATGCAGGTGCAGGGTCCCAAGGCTTTGAGTCATTCTCCAGTGCTTTCCTGGGCCACAAGCAGGAAGTTGGATTGGAAGTGGGGTGTTAACTGGTGCCCATATGTGATACTGGTGTTTGCAAGTGGAGGACTAATTAGTTGTACCATTGTGTTGTCTCTCCCTCCCCGCCGCCTTTTGTTTTTAACAGTTTCTAGTCCGTACTCTTTACTTTTTGAAGGACTATTTGAGTGATGTTAACAATGTGATTTTGTATAGAAAAGAGAGTTCTTGTGTTAGTCTACTGAAATACATGGTTAGAGCTGCACTTAGGTCTTTGGATAGTAAAGAACAGAATTTGGCCTGGTCTCAATCTTTGGCAAGGTAGAGTAACACTTTTGTTTCAGATAATCTCTAAGATCACTGCTAGCTCTAAAATTCTGATTCTGTGGGGGTTATATGTTTTTCTCTCTGACAGCTTCTTTTATTTCCTGAAAAATTTCAAATATTTTTTTTGTCCATTTCTGTTTTCTAAGATGTTCTCGGTGCAGCTGAGTCTTGGCGAACAGACATGGGAATCAGAAGGGAGCAGTATAAAGAAGGCCCAACAAGCTGTTGCCAATAAAGCCCTGACTGAGTCTACGCTTCCCAAACCGGTGCAGAAACCACCCAAAAGTCACGTTAACAATAATCCAGGTACGGCACTGGCTTCCCTCTGTCATGGTGCATGTATATGTTCTCTTTGTATTCCGTTTATATAGCAGGCCTTTGCACAGTCAGTAAGTATTAGTAGTGTGTGTACATACATGCATTCATGACAGCTGAATAATAGCTGAAGGTGAGAAAATTAGGTAAATAATTGCAATTATTTTAAAAAATTTGCTTTAATTTATATATAAAGATATATATTTTGCTTTTTAAATGTTGATTGAAATGTGAGTATAAAACACAGAACATAGTCGATAGTGATTTTTGCTAAGCAAATAGCCATTCTCGGAAGCCTAAGATGTCAACAGCATTATATAACCTGTCAGAATAAAATTGTATTGGGTGTTGTGCGCTGATTGATAATTTCAAGTTAATGAAGTTCATATAAGCTATTAGTCATGTATTTATTTATTTACTTGTTAACTTTTTCATTCAATTATTTACCTTCTGATGAATGTTAATATCACCTTAGACATTTTTGGGATGGAGTTAAAATCCATTTTGCTAGCTTGCAGTGATCTAGTTTGTTCCATTGTAGTCTGTGTGCTTAGGCTCATAACCAGATTGTGTAGCCGCTTCTTTAGATTGGCTTAGACTTGATTTACTCTTTCATGGCCTGCTTCGTCCTGAATTCTATCTCTTCCATGCTAGTCCCTGATCTTCTATCCAACTGATTCATTCATTTAGTAAGCTTAAATAAGCCAAACATCATTATAGTAATCATGTTTGAACTTGGTAGGAGGCTGTCTTGTTTATAGTTTTTGAAATTCTAGATTGATGGCTGATCGTTATTACCCCACCACTCCCGTTATTTATTAGGCATTTGTTTTTACATGTCTCAGGTAACTAAACATTGTCTTTTTCTCTGAACATCTTTGTCTTGTACATAAGCACACAACTTAATCATGATGGTTAAGTACCAAGTGAATATTAATAGTGTCAGTATTAAAACTAGTGAGCAGCATGAACTGAAGGAGTTGAAGTAGGTAGAGGCCTTGAAAAAAGAGTAAGCAGGGATAGAGGAAAAGAAAGCATATTCTAGACTGGCAATTCTTTGGGTTAGGGCACTGAAGTGGGAATCCAGACGATGAGTTTGGTAAAATTTTTTGTAGATGTTTTTAATTGGAGGAGGTAAATGATTAGTAAGAGATAAGAGTGGAGATGTATTTAGAGTAGATTGTTGTGAAATTGAAAGCCTGTCCTATGAAGTTACATTTTATAGTTTGGGGAAAATAACATTTATGACCAAATGAATGATGCATTTTAGGAAATTCTTTTTCACATGTGAATGGAAGGCAGAGGATACTAACAGCAGGGTCAGCTAGGAAATTATTGCCATAGGTTATGACTGAGGTAAGAAAAATACTCAGGTACTTTGAGAATTACATGCACATCTGGTCTTAACCTCTTCACCACACTGTGGAGCTGCATGTGGAGTGGAACACAACAGCCCTCCAAAACAGATGAAGTAACACAGCAGCAGCTGTGTGCTGAGCTCTGGTTCAAGTCTCCATGTAGTGCACTGTAGCAGTGATTAGCCCACCAAGAGTTGGAGGAAGAACACCAGGGAAGTTTACAAGGTCTTTGGAGATGATCATCTCTTCTGGCGAAGGTGCAGTGAGCAGAGGGGATGACTAAGTGTAATGTTACACACAGATTACAATTGTAAAGCCTGGTGAATTTCTGTGCTCCGAACTCATGGCCTCAGACTTCACATTGCCTCAGTGGCCACCCTCATGATCTTTCTGTTTTATGAAACAACTTGAAAGGAAACTGCTGTTCTTACTTTTGCTGCATTAGTTGTGGTTGCTTGTTGAAATCATAGATTAGAGTCTTTCCTTGGAACTTATTTTTCTTAATATTATATTTGCAAGATAGACTTGTACTTTTTTGCTTTTCTTTTTTGCTTTACAAAGACCAGTTTATGACATTTCTGTGGAAAAAAAATGCATACTGTAATCTTACTTTCAAATAAGGAGTTTATTTAAGATTATCATTTGAAGATACAGAAACATCACTTTTATGCGGTGTCAAGCCCAGGTAATGACATGGAAGCATAGTGTATGCCACCAGTGCATCCCAGCATATTGAAGTCTTGTTTATTGCCTTACTTAGAGGAAGCCATGTTACAAGCTTCTTCCTTCTCACTGCTTTAGCATTTAAGCTACTTGTGACTGATTATTGCATAATAAAATCAAAGCAACATGAAATGTTGGACAAATAACAAACTAATGATTAATGGAAATCTTTATGAAATTTAAAGTTTAAACTTTTAAAGGCAGAGACTGTTCTGTGGGAGTTCAAAACAATCTTTGGACAGCCGTTAGACAATTTCTGATAAAGTTAAATATAAACCTGCTGTATGATCCAGCAATGCCACTTCTAGGTTTATCCCCAAGAGAAATGAATATATATATTAAGAGATTACATTAAATATGTATCTTAAAAGAATTATTAAATGTGGTCAAAGTCATAACCTGGAAACAACCCAGATGTTGCTTGTGGAGCAGGATAAACAAATTGGGCTATTTTCATTCAGTGTGATGCTACTCAATGATTTTAAAAAGCTTAATATATGCAGAGCTTGAGAGATGAAAACAAGGTTATTATATGGAGTGAAAGAAGACAAAAAATAGTAGTCAGAAAAGAAGAGCAGGTGGACTAATCTGTGGTGCCAGAAGTTAGATTGGGTAATTTGGGGAGGTGTGTGTTGATTGGACACACGCTGAAGGAGCTGATGGACATATTTATATCCTGATTGGTTGGTAGTCACCCGAATGTTTACATGCATAAGACACTGAATTGTGTGCTTCAAGTTTATGCATGTCTGTCTGTGTTTGACTTTCTCTTTTGCTATAAGTGTATGTGTTCAATTAGGGATTGAGACTAATTAGATTTATTATTAAAGATGTTAACTTTTTTTCTTCTTCATTTTCCTACTTTTCTCTTTATTTTTCCTTCTCACTTTTTCTTAACTTTGATTTAATTCTTGACCGTATGCTGTTCAGTGTTTCCACATTAATTCTTTAGAAATAAAATAAGCAGTTTGACAAATGTTTTGGATGCCAATTGTGTATTTGTATCAGATTCCATTACACTTTAGTTTTTTTTTTTTCTTGAGTATATTCAAGAGGCAGACAGAGAAAAATGAGAAGAGAGACACAGATAGCTCTTGCACTGGCCTAAGCCCCAAATAACCATGCTGGTTGGAAATTGAGATGGAAGCCTGAAGCCAGGAGCTCAATCCAGGTCTCCCATATGGATGGCAGGAGTGTGTTACTTGAATCATCACCACTGTCTCCCAGTGTCTGCATGGGCAGAAAGCAGGAGACTGGAGTCAAGAGCAAAGCCAGGAATCAGACCTGGGTACTCTGATGTGGAATGTGGACATCTGTTTTTTTTTTTTTTTTTTTTTTTTTAAAGACTTATTTATTTATTTGAAAGACAGACTTACAGAAACGGGAAACACAGATCTCCCATCTGCTGGTTTACTGCTACAGTGGCTGCAATGGCCAGGACTGAAGTCAGGAGCCTGGAACTCCATGTGGGCCTTCCACATGGGTGGCAAGGACCCAGGAATCTGGGTCATCTTCCACTGCTTTCCCAAGGCTCTAACAGGAAGCTGGATCTGAAGTAGAACAGCCGGGACGCAAGCCAGTACCTGTATGGGATGCCAATGTCACAGGTCATGGCTTAACCTGCTGTGCACCAATGCTGGTCCCATTATGGAATTTTTCACCTTTTGCTTTGTAGCCCACACCAGCTTCAACAGTTATTAATCTGTGTTGGCAATCTTGTTTGGTTATTTTGAGGCAAATTCAAGATAGAGTGCTTTATCTATAAATACTTATAAAGTACCAGGGATCATCAGAAAGTCTGGTCATGTGTGCTGGGAAAAAAACTGAATTTCAAATTTTTGTTTTTGCAGCAGAATTTACCTTTTAGTTCCATTTTCCATGAACTTTTGAAGTATTTTATGTATTTTCAAAGCTACTCACTGAACTTTAAAGATAAGGGCTCTTAAACAAATAGTATTATTTAGTGAAGAAAACAATTTTTAAAATAAGATTTTTTTTTGCTTGAAAAGTCAGCTTTACAGAGAGAAGGAAAGGTGAAGAGAAACATCTTCCATGCACTGGTACACTCGCCAAGTGTCTGCACAGGCCGGAGCTGAGTCAGTCCAAAGCTGAGAACCAGGAGCTTTCTCCAGGTTTCCCACACTGTTATAGGTTCCCAAACTTTTGGACTGTCCTCCCCTGCTTTCCCAGGCCATAAGCAGGGGAGCTGGATAGGAATTAGAGCAGCTGGGGCATGAACTGGTACCCACAGGGGATACTAGTGCTTGCAGGTGGAAGATTTCCAAGTTGAGCCACCACAGTTGCCCCAGCAATATTCTTTAATATTGAAAGTTTGGAGTTTGAATTTCCATTGTGTCATTAAGTTTTTTTTTTTTTTTTTTTTTTGCAGTTTTAACTGATGCATAATAATCACGTATTTATTGGATATGGTGTTTTATTTCAGCACCCTATATAATGTGTAATGATTAATGCTGAGAGCTATGCAGTTGGGGTGAATGAATCAAAGATGTCAAGAGAACGGCTCCCCAGTTGGCAAGGTTGCGAGGAGCTTCCCACTGTATGACAACGTCTGTCAGTTGTTTCTCCAGCCACCTCAATGCCATTTCACCCCCTTTGTATGGACGCTCAACTACCCCTTTAACAAATCTGAAATCTTTTGAAGTATTTTTTTGTCCTTGTGAGATGGTTTCTGTAACTGATGTGAGCCTAGGAACTAATGCCATTAATTAGTCTTGGTGAGTGGGCTTTTAACAATTTATGAGAATTAATGCATCCAGGAGTACAGTTGAGCCCATGCTGTTCCTGAACTGTTCCTTAGTGTGTACCTAACTATTGCCCTGGAACCTGACCCAGACATGTAGTGTGCCTTCTGGGAAATGGTGTGGTAAGTATCCCCCAAATTGATGAGAAATCCATTTCTTGTATGATTGTGCCCCTGAAACTGTCGTGATAAATATAGTTACTGTTTTCTTAAGGGTTAGCCTGTTTTTGCAGTTTCTTTTGAGCATAGAAAATGTATCTGTCTTGGTCTCTTCCATGGCTTTTTGGCTAGAGGAACTAAAGGACATTTGAACTAATGTTGTAGAAACATGTTTTCGAACTGATTGTGGGGTTGTAAAGTCCGTAGTTGTACTGGGATTTTATTTTGAAAATTTTTTGTTTTTGATCTTTATATTTTTCCCTTTATGATATACTTTTCCTTTTAATGATAGATAAGTTGTAGAAAGAGAAATGTAGTAGGAGTGTATTACTGATTAATATGTAACTGCATGTGCTGTCAGCCGAAGAGTTCCTGGATATAGCCCAGTGACTGCAAGGTCAGAATGAATAATGGACTGCTTTGAAGTGAGTGATTATAACATCTTTGAAAACAACTGCTTAACCATGAAGTAAAAAACAGAACAATAAAATGTTTGTGCAAAAGCTTGTGATGATTTTTGTATAAATAAAGAAGACAGTTTTGTTTTTGTTTTAATCATTATTTTTTTTTTTTTTAAAGATTTATTTTTATTATTTTTTATTGGAAAGGCGGATATACAGAGAGGAGAGACAGAGAGGAAGATCTTCCGTCCGATGATTCACTCCCCAAGTGAGCCGCAACGGGCCGATACTATGCCGATCCGAAGCCAGGAGCCTCTTCCGGGTCTCCCACGCGGGTGCAGGTTCCCAAAGCTTTGGGCCGTCCTCAGCTGCTTTCCCAGGCCACAGGCAGGGAGCTGGAAGGGAAGCTGGGCTGCCGGGATTAGAACCGGCGCCCATATGGGATCCCGGGCGTGCAAGGCGAGGACCTTAACCACTTGCGCCACCGCGCCGGGCCCTTAATCATTATTTTATGAGACAGTTTAATAGGCATTGGGGTTTCCCTTCCTCCTCCCCATTGTGCTCCCCTCCAGAAGAAGGCAGTTTTCTTGAGTTGTCCGTTATGATCACTGAGTCATAGTGGTCCATGGCTTCTTTCTCATTGACTCCATACATCCTTCTCGAGCTCAGAACTCTGCTAGAGCTGGTTTCCCGCAGGTTTGTTTAGGGTAATCATTATATCCATCACTTTAAGAAAAAATCTTTGTGTTGGGAACATTAAACATCCTCCATTTTCTGTCTTGAAATATACAGTCAGTTGTTGTCAGCCATAGTCATCCTGTTGTTCTAAGTAACATCAGCAATTATTCTTCTCCCTGAACTCATTACCCATCCTGTGTGCCCCTCCTCTGGTAGCCAGTATTCAAGCTTCCACATATAATGTATTTCATGTAAAAAAAAATTGGTTTATTTTAACTTACATGGAAATTTCTGTATTTCTAAGTTTGGCTGGTATCGTCTCTTTAAAGATACAGAAACTTGTTCTTTGTTTTTCCATACGGTTTATTTGGTAAAGAAACTGTTCATTAGTCCTGTAGAATTTTCCAGCTGCTTGGCTTTGCTGATACCACACCTGTGGGGGTGTTTAGCCTGTTTGTCTGGCTCCTTTGTTCCCTGTAAACTGATAAGCTAGAAGCTGTGTACATTTAGGTTTGATTCGAGGGGGAAGGGGCTAACACTGCTTTATAGGCAGTTTTGACTGTTTACTATTATATTACATCAGAAAGGCACTTAATTTCTTGTCAGTTTGAGATTTTTTTTTCAATTTAGTGGATGCTTTTATCATTAGTCTAGCTCATCATCAAGTTCCCCATTAACATTTGACTTAACGATTATCAGCTTGTTGATGCTCATTGCCTAAAAGATTTACTTTAATCAGAATTAGCAAAATGGTGATTTTGGGCAAGTCATTTGTTCTGCATTCACTAGCTGAACTTTGAGCCATTGCTCATAAATGAAGTATTCTTCCCTCATCTGTTTGCTGTGAGTATAGTGTATTCAGAAAAGGCAGCATAAGGGCTTGGTTATTATATTTATCAGTATCGTGTCCAGAGTTGGAATCAACAGTTCTCTAAGAAATGTGTGTGTGAGTGTGTGTGTGTGTGTGAGAGAGAGAGAGAGAGATGGGCGTTGTAAACCAAGCTTTGGACGCTGGCTGCGTCCTGTGGTAATGGCTTTGCCATTGCATTCAGGCTTATTAGGTGGGTAGTTCCAGGAAATAACTTACTCTTTTTTTGAGAGTACATTCATCATGAATTCAAATTTAAGACTATAGAATGTAGCTTAATGTTTTGATTTTCATCTTTTGTTTTAAAAATGTTGGTTTCTGAATATATAATTACTTGTTTTCCTCATTTTATGTCTATTTATAAACACATAATAACTTCATAGTAACAATAATGCATTTCTAACAGTATAATGACTGAAAACAGCTTAAGATTTTCTACAGATTTTTTTCCCTTTAGGAAATATATCTTATTGTTTCTGAAATACTTATCTCTTGCAAGGCCATTTTGATTCATTGTTAGCTTAACTGCTTTCTTTTGGAGATGACTTTACATTTTGGTTTAATTTTGCTTTAAAAATTTAAGCAAACTATAGCATATTAGTTATACTCATGTTAGTAACAATATGGTAGCCGAAACAGTTAAGGTTTCTGCTTTTTTATTCCTCCTTAGGATCTGTATCATGAACATTTTGCTGTGTTTAAAATTATTTGCAGTATTTCTATGGTAAAGTTACCAACTCAGTCACTAGATTATTTCACTTTTCTGTCAGGGTTAGGAACTGTTCCCCATCCCATTTTACTGGCATTGTTTTGAGTTAAGTAAAAATATTTCACAGTTTTCAAGATCAGATCCGTAAATGGCTACATTCAGAAAAGGTCAACTTCTATTCTTTCCTTCCTTTGTGCCTTTTCTCCATAGATTTTTTTTTTTTTCATTTTTAGTTTGGGATTTATTCTTTAAAAAGTTTTAAAATGGTTTTCTTTTATTTTAGTCTGTGAGATTTTATACTAATATTTTCACTTTTTCCAATAAAAATAATAGGAAATACACAAGGTTTGGTAACTTGATTTTTTTTTTTTCCATTTAGTAATATACCCATTGCTGCTGAGGTGTAACCTCTGAAGTATGTCATTAAGTAAAAATAAAAAGTTATTTCTATATGTACAATTCTTTTTTTTTTAAAGATTTATTTTTTATTGGGAAGTCAGATATATACATAGGAGGAGAGACAGAGAGGAAGATCTTCCATCTGCTGGTTCATTCCCCAGGGCCTGTAGCAGCCAGAGCTGAGCTGGTCGAGGAACCAGGAGCCAGGAGCTTCTTCCTCATCTCCCACGTGGGTGCATTGTCCCAAAGCTTTGGGCCGTCCTGGACTGCTTTCCCAGGCCACAGGCAGGGAGCTGGATGGGAAGCAGGATTGCCAGGAGATAAACTGGTACTCATGGGATCTGGGCATATGCAAGGCAAGGGCCTCAGCCACTAGGCTACCATGTGGGGCCCTTACTCTTATTATATATAGTCTTGGATATTTCTAGTCTTTTGCTCTGTTAGTAGTGTTGCTTGTATTTTCTGGGAAGAGATTACATTTTAGTTTGGGAGGATATCCACAGAGAACATCACTTATATTTGCTTTGCTTGCTGATTATAGGAGAAATTAGTATATAATCTAAGAATTTTGTGTTTATTTTGTTTCAGATAGGATGATTACGCAGTGAATTTTGGTTATCAGTGTGCAGAAAAAAAGCTAGAAGACTCCCAGGAGTATTTCATTGGATACTATTTGTTTTCTTTTAATTTACTTTGTGTACTTTTGCAGAAAATCATAAAATGCGTCATCCACCCTCACCTTCTGCCATAGTGACTAGGTGTAGTCTAAATATAGAGTGCATGATTTGTTGTGGAAATATTTCACTTGTATGCCTTTAATTTTTTTTTTTTTTAAACAGGCAGTATAACTCCGACTGTGGAACTGAATGGGCTTGCTATGAAAAGGGGAGAGCCTGCCATCTACAGGCCATTAGACCCAAAGCCATTCCCAAACCATAGAGCTAATTACAACTTTCGGGGCATGTACAATCAGAGGTTTGTATGTCTTCTTCGGTTTTATTATTGTTTTTAATGAATATTGTTAAAATTTCTAGAACTCAAAGAGCAGTGTCATTGTAAATAGTGTGAAAACTTGGGCATTTTTTTATGTCATTTAGATGAATAAGTTTCACAAGGAATTAAAATAGTAAATTAGAAAAAAAAAAAAAAGCCAGCACCTAGTTTTCAGAAACTAATTCTTACCAAATCATGCAAATCCTGTATCAATTTTAAGGTCATCTCACAGTTTATGGTGCTGGTCACCCAGTTTGCTTTTTCATTCCAGTAGTAATCAGAAATCAGTTTTCCTTGATTTGCTTTGATAATTAACATACATAAGTGTTCTAATTTGTAGGAAATGTGTCCAAAGGAGGAAGGATTGTCTTAGTCTTCCTATACTTTGTGATAGTTACAAATGTTAACTATTATTTAAAAAATGTTTTTTAACATGGTGAAAGTTTCAAAATAAAGCTTAGTTGAGTTGTTCCCCTGGACACCCCGTGATAAAGTCATAGAAAATATATTGTAGAAGATGTAGAAAATGAAGAGAGTTAAATTTTTTGTATTTTGATGTACCTTTTTTTTTTTTTTTTGCCTAGAGGTATATTTAGCCAAATTACAGTTTCTATATGGTAGCAGTTTATCTCTGGTGCGGTGGGTAAATGTTAACTACATGTTGCTAGGTTCATTTTATGTATGTATTTATACTTATTGGAATTTTTACATTGTATATCGTCAAGGGACTACCATTAACATCAAGATACAGAAAATTGCCTGCACACCTTTGATTCTGATAACCTTTGCCGGAAGTAGCTTCTGTTGTAACTCCGTTGATTAGTTTTGCCTGTTGCTGAACTGTTGTGCATATAGATTAACAGTATTTACTCTGGCTTCTTTCACTTCATAATTTTTAAATTTTTAAAAATTTGTTGAGATTCAGCAATATTTGTCTATATCTCAGTTTTATTGTTTTTAAAATTACTACCTCTTTTTTATGGAAGTATCATAGTTTATCTCATGTTTTTGTGCTCTTTTCACCTGACATAATATTTGGTTTTTATATCTTTGGCATATATTTTTGATAGCTAAGTAATACTTCCTGTGACACAGTGTGCTTATAGTGGATGCCTCGTTTTGATTGTCTCATGCCCTGCCCTCTTTGGCTGCAGACAATCTGTATGTACAGACCTTCAGTCCTTTCACTGATGACTTCCTTAAGAGAAGGTAATAGGTTAAGGAGAGTAAGATATAGGGCAATGACATTATGGTTGGTACTGATCTCTGAAGTATATGAGGGATGTCTGTTGAGCTTTAAAGAAAAGTTTTTTTGTTTGTTTTAATTTTGTTGCATAGTTTAAAAATGGCACTTAGCAATTTTGTTTTTATTTATTTTTATTTTTAACATTTCGGTTTTATTAACAACTAATGACAATGAATAGGTTTTTCAGATATCTATTATTTGCCTATCCTTTTTGATTTGTCTATTTTAATTTACTTACTTTTATTTTTTGCTTGACCAGTTTTCAAATGTTTATGTGTTGAGGGTGTCACCATTTTGTCTGATTTATTTGTTGTAATTTTCCTGCTTTTAAAAATAGGGTTGTCAGTTTTCTGTTTGTTAATGTACTGTAGTTTTGTATGTTTTATGGTCTAATTTGTCGGTATTTTCAGAACAGATTTTGCCTAAGATGTTCTTCCACATATGATCAGATGCTTGCTGATGCTTTTGTATGTTACTGACCTTTCAACTCAGACAAAGAGAGTGTATGTATGTAGTCTGTATAAACTGATCATGTTTTGGTACCTTCCTGTAAGTGAAAAATTACCTCGAAGGCATAGTTCTATTTAAACTGTTAATAGTTCCTTTAGGTGTTAATGGTCAGGATCTGTAAGAAAAATTTCATAATTTCATACCTAGGGGAAGGTACTGTTGGTGAAAAACAAGGGGTTCTCATTTTCCTTAGTTCCTCTGCTCCTTGTGGGTGTGTCCATATCCACCAGTTTCTGAAATCTGTAGTTGACTTCTAGTGCATTTTGCCCCTCAGATGATGTTTTCATAGAATGTGTGTCATCTAACCCCTGGCTAACTAGAATAAACCCCTTGACTTTTCTTGGCTCTCCTTGTGCGTTGTTCCTTTGCCACCTTCTTGTGTATTGTCTCTGTGTCTTGCTAAGGAATATCCAGTGGCAGGCTTGTCAGCTCTCAGCCATGTCGAGAACCAAGGAAGATAGGAGGCTAGACAGAAAGAGTCACAGGGTCAAGTGGTTTGGTTTGATTCTTTTTCATTTCTGGACTTCCTATTCTGAAATTTTTCCCTTTAGCAATCATCCAAGAGCTGATTCTGTGGCTGTCATGAGGAGTGCAAGGATTTTATTTATTATTTTTCCAATGTCCAAAAGAGTGTGCCTTAGGTCATTCCTGTTAAGGGACACAGTGGACTGGATTTCCTTCAGATTTTGGGAGAATCTTTGCTGATGACAGGATAAAAAGGAAATGGAGAAGCTGTGTTAAGTTACTCATCCATGTTTCAAATGTTTCAATTTAGAGGCTCTCTCTGTCCACAAAAGGGAAGACTTAAGCATTCTCATTAAACTTTTTTTTAAGTGGTTATTTTTTATTGGAAAGGCAGATTTATACAGAGGAGAGAAAGAGGAAAAGATCTTCCATCCGCTGGTTCACTTCGCAGATGGTCACAGTGGCCGGAGCTGAGCTAATCTGAAGCCAAGAGCCAAGAGCTTCTTCTGAGTCTCCCACATAGGCATGAACGGTCCCAAGGCTTTGGGCCATCCTCTGCTGCTTTCCCAGTTGGTAAGCAGGAGTTGGATTGGAAGTTGAGCAATTGGGATATGAACCAAGGCCCAAATGGAATGCTGGTCCTTGCAGGTAAAGTAGTAGCCAGTTGAGCTATCATGCTGGCCTCCCTTAGAAGGTTTTTTTTTTAAATTTTAAAGATTTACTTATTTTTATTAAAAGTCAGATATACAGAGAGGAGGAGAGACAGAGAGGATGATCCTCCATCTGATGACCCACTCCCCAAGTGACTGCAATGGCTGGTGCTGCGCTGGCCTAGAGCTGGGAACCAGGAACCTCCTCTGGGTCTCCCACGTGGGTGCAGGATCCCAAGGCTTTGGGCCATCCTTGACTGCTTTCTCAGACCACAAGCAGGGAGTTGGATGGGAAGTGGAGCTGCTGGGATTAGAACTGGTGCCCATATGGGATCCCAGTGCGTTCAAGGTGAAGACTTTAGCCACTAGGCCACTACACTGGGCCCCCTTAGTAGGTTGTTAAAGTGATTTCACACATGCCATTAATTTGCACACCTCTGTACACCCTTATTTCCTCTTAGTTCCTCCACACCTTCTATTTCCACATCCTTAGCTCCACACCCCTGTAGCCGAAGTCAGAGGAGGCTTTGTTCTTACCAGATTTCAGGTTCATCAGTAGCTTCTTATGTCTGTGAAGGAAAGGTTAAGAAGTTCAGCAGACAGTTGTCATTCACAGGGATATTTTTCAACTGCTCTTCAAATTTTCTACTAAAAATAATAAGTAATTATTAGGTGTTAACCTGTGTGGTGTCTGGTCCCTTCTCTGTACCCTCTATTCCTAGCTGATGGGATTTCTTCACTTGAACTCATTGAAGAGCCTGTTTTATGATTGGGGAAAAACTTGTTCATGGGTTAACTCTGGATGCAACCTGGATTTGGAAGCACCAGTATCCTTTTTTTTCCACCCAAGGTGTTGACAATGAGTAATCTGGGTTCATATTTTTCATTTTTTTTAAGGCTTACTTCATTTACTTGGAAGATAGAGTTTCAGAGAGAAAGAGAACACACACACACAGATAGTAAGTATCTTCCATCTGCTAGTTCACTCCCAAAATGGCTGCAACAGTTCAGGCCAAAGCCAGGAGCCTAGAACTTCATTTGGGTCCCACACATGGGGGGCAGGGACCAATGCACCTGGGCTGTCCTCTACTACTCTTTTTTAGGTGCATTTGTAGGGATCTGGATCTGAAGTGGAGCAGCCAGGAGTGGGTCTGGTGCATATGTGGGATGTTGGTGTGGCAGCAGAGACATAACCTGTTGCAACACAATGCTGCTGTCTGCCTTTTTTTTTGATGATTTGTTTATTTGAATGGTAGATGACAGAGTGGGACACACACACACACACACACACACACACACACACACACAGATCTTCATCTGCTGCTTCCCTCCCCAAATGATCGCAACAACCAGGGCTTTGGCAGGCTGAAACTGGGCGCTGGAGCTCCATCCTCTTCTCCCATAAGGCAGCAGAGGTTCAGGTGCTTGGGTGGTGACCTGCAGCCTTCTGGGTGCATTGACAGGAGATCCTGCAGTGGAAGGCGGATATTCCAAGTAGTGGTTTCACCTGTTGCACCACTACCAGTTCCCCCAAGTTTCATCTTGGTCTTTCTAATTTGAGGCACTAGTTACTAACAGTTGTGTTATAAAGTAAAAAGCATTTAATTCATATGATGGAATATATCATAAAAATTGGAAGGCATTTTGTGCTTTTTATTTTACCTTCTTGGTTAAAAAATTATATGAAAGGATAGAATGGATGAAATCAGGCTTCCTACAGTTTGCGTATTTACAGATTAGCAAATTTAACTGCTTGGCAAATAGGGAGCTGTTTAGTTTGCTCCTTATAACTCAAACTAGATTATATGAAAATGGGAACTTTTGACATAGATTGAGATCTAATTGGGAAATCTCTTAAGAGACAAGCATGTTTGGATATAGGCCTTTAGTGTTCTCTTCTTCATTTTCAAGGAACTCTTTCTTGATCTTGTATAATTCTTCTGCTTAACTTTTTGAAAAGCTGCTCCCTCTCCCCAGTGCTGTACTTTGCATGCTATATAATCTGTAGGCTTGTGCTGCTAGAGAATAGGCAAGTTTGTAAGTCTCAGAGGAAATTTGATGAGCTGGAAAAATATATTTGAAGGAAACAGTTTTATTGTGTTAATTAACTT